GTGCAGAACAGCGGTTCTATTCTACGCACTATCGATGTAAAGTGGGCGGAGGTGACAGCCATGATGTTTTCAGATATGGGACATATCACCTCCGTAGGTGGAGCGCCTCCCTGAACCACCGGACAGCTCCGAGGGGGCCGTCATGATACGCATGGACACACATTTGAAAGGACCGGTCCTCCATCAAAAGCAGCTGAAACTGTTTCTGGAAGCAGGAGTGTCATCCTGGGCCGGTCTTTAGGCCGCAAGAGTCGGAACTTCTTCGCTGAGACCATCACCGTAGCCAAGTGTGCTACACCGCCCATATCTGTCAATCCTTTGCTCTCGGCATCTCTCGGCGACGTCACACGCTTGCTCAGCAAAGGTTTTGCCAACTGCGAAGGCATCGCTTTCAATAGGAGAATGTGGTTTGTCACTTCGCAATACCTCTGGGGAGGCGAAGAGCAAAGTACCAGGTTTGTGAAAAGTCTTGTCGGACGCGGTTTTTAACACCAGGCACGCATCCAAATCAAAGAGCATGTGTATCCTCTGCCAGACTGCTGTCGCTTCCACGACTGCGCCTGTGCGATGTTTGATGGGCTCACATCATTGTGTGAGATGAGATGTCCAGGTAGATGCAAATGTCGAAGGGCTAGACAGGTATCCTGAAAACCTGGCAGCTCTTCGCAGTCAAACCACTGCTCTGCGCCCGTTTCGCCAATGTGGCTCCAACAACTTCGACGACGAGACCCTCAACAAAATTCTTCCCACAGTGGATATATTGCCCAAACAAGCGCAAGTTGCGCAAGTCTGCTGCAATCTGTAGCCATTCGCTAGCGCTTCCCGATCCTGTGCCAGTTGATCTGGTAGAAAGTTCTTTGAGAGTCGCAAGACCTTTGCGGCCACGTCTTGGCCTTTCCAGAAAGACGGTGTCAGTGTGGCCAATTCCTTGGCCAAGGCTGTCTTTCATCTCAAGATCGTCCAGTTTCACTACTGAAGTTTGCTGGGCTGCTTTTTGCAATCACTTTGGCTGTGACATGATCTTCTTGAACTCAACAAGTTTGGTAAGTCAAGTGTCTTCCTGATAAATTTGTCAGCAGGCGCCTTGAGCGTTGCAAAACTGCACTTCAGCCCTGGCAAGTCCTTGGACTTGCTGAACGCCAACGCTGCAAGTCAAAGGGAATCTAATCGAATCTTTTGGCTGACTCAACACATAAAACTGCCAGGAAAGTCATGAGAAGGACGGCAATCAACACCCGCGAGCACACGATAGAACAATCTCAACAACAAATAGCAATGCAACACGGGGTTTGAAAACACCCCATTTCCAATACCTCGAAAAACTTGTTATCCTTTGTTTACTCTTTTCTCAGGTGTTGGGCTCTTTGCGCACAAGAACTGTCAAATTAGCAGGTTTCCATGCATGTGAAAGCATCTTTGGTGGTCCTACTTCAGGATCGCGTAGCACTGCTTGCACCAAGGCGTACACGGTCTTTGGTGGTCAAGACATGGCAGTGGCAAAGATCAGATATAAACAGCTAAACAAGACCACCGCGCCGCACACTTCTGCCCTTGAAAAGGCCTAATGAAAACAGTCAAATGGGTCCTTGCCCACCAGGGATGATTTTTGCTGCATTTCCTTATCGTTTTCGGTATCGTTTTGTTGTCGTTCCAAACATCTCTGCACGTTGCCATTTTCGTGGTTCATGTACTGGCAAACTATGAAAATATCTGGTCCCCCTCGACCATACAAAATGGCTGCAGCATATGGACCAAACAGCCCAGTCAGTGCGGTTGCTGAATGGAAAGTGAGATTTGAGAGCTAGGTTCTCACCTCTTCCTTCAACAGGGGGAGTGTAGGAGGAGGATAGTCAACTCTTCCATTAACATTACCTATCTAGTGTTAATGGGACAGGTTGAAGCCCATGAGATGTGCAGGTATTTAATCATTATCGGCGGTTTTTTACACTTATCGTTTTCTGGGGTAGGAATGCATTAGTAGTGTTAAGGTGCATGCCAATACTAAACTGCTGAGCGCGGAGTTATTTCAATCTCTCACATGGACATGGGCTAGCTGGCTATGAGAATTGTGATGAGGTGCTAATTAGATTGCAAACCCTGAAGACATTGCGATCGGGTCATCGTTTGCTATTCCTACTTACCACTTGAGCTGGAGCAGCAAAAAAGGAAAACTGACTTCAAGACATGATAGCCTGACACGGCAAATTGATACATTTGCTGTAACTGATGCTTGTTCCTCCTATTTCACCTTCAGATCATGAGCCAAGTTGTGAGGACAGAAACAATGAATCAATGTGATTGATACATTATATAGATACATCCCAAATCTGAAAACATCATTGCTGCTACCTCCACACAATCTGCCCACTTTGCATCGATAGTATGCAGAATAATGAATAGGACCGCTGTTTTGTACGGTCCAATGTCTGTTGAAACTGCTTGTGGTGAATTGATATGTTTCAGCACATGCAAGTTCCAACAACTTCCAGTAACAGCCAGCTGACTGTGAACTTCTTGTTAACCTCAATATAACCAAACTATATACATAACACACGTATACAACATATATAGATATATAACTACACAACGTACGGCATCGTTTGGCATATTATAACATACACTGACGCAGGTGTCACCAAATACAAATCGATTGAACGCCAAACAACATAACCAATGACTGTCACCTTGGTGGATAGTTGCTTCCGCTGCTCCTCTGCCAAGAAAAGGTTTGTAGTGAGTCTGGCCATGTTAAGCATCTACACATATCTGAATGCTACCAACGTTGCCCGGTCTAAGCGTTGTGGCGGTGAAACCTACATCATGTTGACTGTTGGTCAAGAAACTACCAACTTTGGATTGTAAGAAGCTCTTTATACATCGGCCCAAGTTAACATGCTAGTTGGTGGAAGCGTTCAATCATGTTTTTCTGTAAGACCAAAGCAACTTAAAGCAACTTCCACCGTTGCGTCTCGCTTCCTGAGTTGCTTGGGGTGTGCGGGCGACCACTTAGGACGACTCCCCTCCCCAACCCCGTCTCCATATCAAAAAGTGTCTCAAACACTCGGCTATGGCACAAAAGTCTTTATTGACTGTTACGCTTCGGTGAAAAAGCAACGGAAGGAACAACGACGCCGAAAACGAACACGAACAGAAGCTTTGGCGATCCCGGCCAGGAAGAGCAGGTGATACGTACCCAAAGTCGAGGGAAGATGGTGGTACCACCCTCCGGCCTTGATCAAGTCATCTGGGGACCGCGATGTTGGCGTCAGGGGCCGTCATCCGAGGGTACCCAAAACAAATTGGAAGTGGTCCTCAAACATGCTTTCTAAAGACATTCTATATAAAAACCTTGAATCCTATCCTATCTATTGAGGATGTCTTCCGTTTCGTGTGCTACAATGGTTCCTGTGTGGCAGAAGTGCGACGTGTGTCACACAGGAAGCATGGGTCCTCCACCGGGGGAGGGCGGTTTTTCCCACCGGTTGGGTGAACAGAATCGACGACGAAGGCGGAGGTCACCATGGCCATGGATTTGGTCCGGGTTTTGACCCGCCAAATCACACAGCCAGTAATTAGTAAGGCCGTGGTACTAACGTGGTTTGGCGTCATTGGGCCATTTCACCCGCCTTACTACTGGTCGTCGATACTGGTCATTCCAAAACGTCGACTGCACACGTCCAGCGATTGGAGGCGAGGGACCGGTGGGTGGAGGAACATCATTCAACTGACGAACATGAATCAGTCCTTTGAAGAATGAAAACTTCGGGATCCCCTCCACCATCCTTGACTGTTGTAATGTAGACTCTAGATTAATAAACCCCCCCTTTGAAGGGCCGTGGGTATTAATCAAGAGTCTGACATGATGCTTTCTCCGACAGGTCCAATCCGGTGATCGGTCCAATCCGGGGCGGTGAACCCCGGTCCAACTCGGCGATTCGCCGGTGAATCGCGTGTCTCATGTGTCTCGGGAAAGGGCTGAAGACCAAGACAAGAAACGGCACGGCTCCGCACGCATTGGGATGTAGGAAGTGCACATGTAGGAAAACAAACACAAAAAACGAAGTTCAACAGCATGCAAGAATCTTGAAGATTCTTCAACAAGGAACCACAAATCCCCGCAAGACCACCAACTTAACTTCCCTACTTGGACCTCACGTTGTACAACCCCCACCACGGCAAAACCCTTCCAAACGACGATGGCATCACTGGCATCCGTCTGCGGATCCCGGCACGGTGTTGGGCTTAAAACCTTCCTGGCCAGCGATGGAGTTGATCAACTCCACGGCCGTGGACCAGAAAAAATTCAAAAGCTTCTTGTTACTACTAGCGTGGCACTTGTTCCTAATAGCTTCTTGTTACTACTAGTAAGGCACTTGTTCCTAATAGCTTCTTGTTACTACTAGTAAGGCACTTGTT